TCTGTTTACGAGACGCTAGTATGTGGCTCCAGCATTTTTTAGTCCAAAGGGCATCTTATCGTAGCAGTATACCCCTATCTCGGTGATGTAAGCTGTCTTTTCTGCATCTTCCTGTGCCATGAGAATTTGATGATATCCCTTGTATGCGTCAAGGAAGCTGAGGACTCTGTATCCGCCAATGCCTTCTACCATTTGGTCTATGACTGGTAGAGGGTAGCAGTCCTTGGGGCAATGTTTGTTGAGGTCAGTGTAGTCTCAGCACATGCGCCAAGAGTTGTCGAGTTTTCATACTAAGACCGGGTTGGCTAACCAAGTAGGCCATAGGACTTCTCGGAGTATGTTGGCACAGACTAGCTTCATTGTTTTCTCGTTGATGACATCGTTACGTTCTCGAGAAAACACTCTTTTCTTCTGTTGTACTGGTTTGACATTTGGATCAACATTTAGCTTATGTTCCATGACTTCTCGAGAGACTCCTGTCATATCCGCTGGGGACCAGGCAAATATGTCATGGAACTCGCACAGCAAGGCACTGATCTCGGCTAGCAAGGGGTCTTGGAGAGAAACCCCAATTTGAACGGTCCTGGTGGGATCAGTCTCACTCAGGATTAATTCCCGTGTCTTGCTACTGAAAAAGGGAAGGCTGGAGATCTCGGGATTTTCCACCTCTGGTGGGTTGACCGTTTATCGAATTGAGTAGCATTCTGACACGGCGGAGCCTAGGTTAAGGTGTGCGGTCTTCTTTCCGATTCTAACTGCAGTGAGCAAACACTCTCGAGAGCTTCGGTGGCATCCTTTCACTACTCCCACTCCATACTCCGTTGGGAATTTCATTACCAAGTGATAGGGAGACCATATTACGCGTGCCTGGCACATCCAGGGTTGCCCTAGGATCACGTTGAACAGCGAGGGTGCATCTATTAGGGCGAAATCCATGGTTAAGGTGACCGTCCTAGGATGCGACCCTACCGAGATGGGTAAGCTAATTATTCCTATGGGGATAATGGTGTAACCTGAGAATCCCATCAGTGACATTGTAGTTGGGCGGACACAAGCATTTTTGATATTCATTTTCTTGAAGCAATCACTATATATGATGTCGACCGCGCTGCCGTTATCCACGTAAACCCTTCCGACCTTTACGTTTGCAATTATTGCTTCTATGACCATAGTGTCACTATGGGGACAACTGTCTGGGACCACATCACTATCTGTGAATATGATGGCCTCCGTTCCTTTGAACCTCTTGTGGCTAGGCTCTTGTCGAGGAGTTTTGGTGACGGTTCGCAATGAGTTCTTCATGGCTGTGGTTGATAAGACTTCGAGGGGAGCTCCGTAAATAGCTCCTACCTGGTGAGTGATTAGCTTCGTTGGATCCACCGGGGGGAGTTGTTGCAGTGGCTGTGGTGCTGCTTAAGTGATGGGATAGTGTTGTTGTTGGGCGTTGGTTCTCGGTTGCCAATTATTTCCTCGTCCATCCCGCGGTGGTGGGCCTCTGAAGTTTCTTTTAGGGTGATCTCGTGACTGGGGTCTGTTATTCTTCTGTCAGGAGGCTGTTCCTTGCACATATTGCTGAAACTTCCCAGACTTGACCCCATTCTCGATTTCACGCTTAAGCTCTCGACAATCCTTCGTGTCGTGGCCGTGATCTTTGTGATACTCACAATATTGTTCAGTTGATTTGTTTGGATTAGGTGCCAAGGGTTTTGGAGCTGGCAATTCGTCCCTATAGATCTGGAGGATTTCTCGTCAGGGCTTGGTTAAGGGTGTTAATTGCCTATCCATCTTGGGCAGTGCCGGTTTATTTTCCTGGGGGATTCTCGGCTTATCCTTTGGCCCTACCAAGGCGAAGGATTCTTGGGACATCTTGAGTGTGTGTTCTTGTTGTATGTGGTTCTCGATGATGGCCCACATCTCTTGAGCATTCCTAGGGGATTTGGTCGAGAGTTTAACTCGCAACATTGAGGATTTCCCGAAGGGGTTAAGGCCTTGGATGAATCCGTTGCGCCTTTGCCATGAAGTTCATGGTTGCGTTTCGGATCCTCATGATTTGGACATACCCTTGTAGCCATTGGGAGACATCGGTATCTCCTGAGTATGGCTTGAATTCTTTAGGAAAGTCGAAGTCTCGGGGCTTAGGTTCGTCTCGAATGCTGGGGATGAAGGGGCTCCAGTCTAGCCCTATCCCGATGATCTTTCTCATTTCCTCTCGGATCAAGGTATTCTGATCTCTTGTCCCTTGCTGATCTCCTTGGAAATATGGGGGATTTTCTCTATGTCCATTATGCAGCTGATGTCTTGGAGGCGAATATCGAGGATGGTGATGGTATTCTTGATCATAGTTTCCCTCGATATTGTTGTGGCCTTGGTGTGGTTTGTAACCATGTTTGTATTCAGCTCGTCGTGGACTTCTCCGATTCCAATTGAATTCTAAGCAATTATGTGCGTTAGTTTGCCTTGGGGGGTTTCCTTGTTCCCCTTCAACGACCTCGACACTCGGGGGTCGTGATTCTCCCAAGTGTCCCTACGTTGGTATATTGCGTCGAATTCCTTGAGAGCAGTATCAAATGCTAGGTATCTTTCTCTGAAAGCGTTCCAGAATATGGTATCTCTGGTAGCGTACGAGCGTTCCTCGTGGGGGTTTTCGTACCCCTCGGTTTCTTGGTAATTTTCCTGCTCTTGGACTTTCCGCTTGCCCTGCTTCTTCTCAAGAAGGGCTAGGGTTCTGCGAGCTTCTCTTTCATCGATCAAATCTTCCAACTCTTGTTCTGTGGGGTCGGGTTGTCCGAGGAGGCAACACCGCCTGGTTTCTTTGATGACATATCTCCGCATCCTCTGTTGTTGATCGTTGTCATCGACTAGTTTCTTGAGTTCGGCCTCGATCCTAGCTAATTTCTGATCCTCCAAACGCTTGATGGCAGTAGGGGTATTCCGAGGAGGAGGTATATCCTCTTTTTCAGGTGGAAGATTTGTTTTGTTTTGTTTTTCTCGATCGGGATGAGAAGTACCAAGAACCAAACGCTCTTTTGTTGGTTCTTTTCCTGGTTCTCCACCGTGGCTCTTTCCTTTCTTCCTCTTTTCTTGCCGGCGTTGGAACTCAGCTAGAGGGGTGTCGTCTCCTAGACTATGCTGGTGGCCGGAGGATGCTGTGCTGCCGGCGTCTTCTTCAACTCTGACCATCGTATTGATTATTCCGGCAACCCTAGTTTGTATGGAAAGGTGTTAAGGAAACCTGAGACGGCTTCTGTGACACAAACCCTAATATTCGGGTCCCACTGGGCGTGCCACTTGAAGATGCCTGGATATGCGCCGCCGGTTTAGCGGTGTAACTCCGGTTAGGGTTTCTTGCAAAACAGGACCTTGGGGTCTCCCGACGGTAGACACTCCGATGCTTAAGTCATTAAAAGGGTTGCAAGAAAGTTTAGGAAGGTAGTTTGTTTAGCTATAGATTGCGTACCTATATTGTGGTATGAGCTACCCTATTTATAGGTATGAAATTACCTGGGCAATTCCCGAATCCAACTAGGTTTCAGGAACTTACACCGCCCTAAGAGTCCCGGTTGGACTCTTTCTTCCGTTGGCGGGCCGGTCCAGTCTCGCTGATGGATATGGACTCATCAGTTTTGGAGGAATCTTTTATCGGAAATGTTGGGAGATAATAGCTTCTGACTTGATGAGGGCCCTGTGAAGAGTTTATGCTAGGAATCCAGGCTACTGGAAGTACATTGATCACCCTAATTCCTTATAAGACTTCGGTGACTACATTTTCCAACGTAATACCTATAAGCCTTTGCAATTTATAAACAAGATCTTCACAAAAATTCTCACGGAAAGATTGAAAATGGTTTTGCCGAAGCTAATTTTCGAGGAGCAATCAGCTTTTTTAGGATGGAGGGACATCACAGATAATGTTTTGCTAGGCCAAGACCTTTGTCAATTTGTGAATTGTAAGGCAAAAGGAGAAAACCTAATCATTAAGGTAGACATGATGAAAGTTTTTTATAGAGTGTCATGGAGCTTCTTGAACAAGGTACTTCAACATTTTGGCTTTCCACATCTTTTTATCTCGCTGATTTTGTCTAACCTTCAAGGCAGCTGGTTTTCTGTTTTGGTCAATGGTAGTCCAACCAGATTTTTCAAAGCTACAAGAGGCATTAAGCAAGGCGATCCACTCTCGCCTTATTTATTTATCATAGTATAGGAAGCTCTGTCGAGAAGATTAAATTTTTTAATGGAAAATCAAAAAATTTCCTACCATCGTACTCTGACTGGTTCTATGCCTACTTCACATCTATGTTATGCAGATGATCTTATCGTGTTCACTAGAGGATTAAAGTCATCTCTAGAATACTTGAACATATTTTTTCAGAGATATGAAGTAGCATGGCCTAAAGATTAATCGACGGAAAATCAATTTTTATGTTGCAGAAAGGTGCTGGAATCAAAGGTTAGATTTGATAAAGGACATTTTAGGTATGCACAGAGGTTTTTTTCCCTTTCTATATCTAGGGTGTCCCTTATTTCATGGTCAAAAGAGGGCGGCTACTTTTCAGTACCTCTTAGACTCGATGGATGCTCGGCTTGCAAATTGGAAAAATAAAATGCTAAGCCAAGGGGAACGTTTGCTGCTCATTAAGCATGTTCTATCAGCAATCCCGATACACACTTTTGCTGCCATGAGCCACCACTGTTGATTATTGCTACAATGGAGAAAAAATGCCAAAAGTTTCTTTGACAAGGGTCGAATGATGATGCCAAGCGACAATGGAGGGCTTGGGAAAGAATTGCTTTGCCACTTAATGAAAATGGTGTGGTCCTTAGGAATTTCAAGGATACACTCAAAGCATTTTCTAAGAAGCTCCTGTGGAAGGTTGCAAATCAGCGAGGTCTTTGGGCAAGATTTGTGTTATCACCGTCTGCATCGGCAAAAAGGTAGACTTCATGGTCTTAGATAGAAAAGGTGCACTTGCTTGCTGCATCATTCTCGAAAATTCCAACTCATGGAGGCAAACAGGAGTTTTGGGTTTGAGAACTGGAGTGAATGCGGTGTTCTTTGGGACTTACCAACAGGAATGCCGCCTCATTCGAATATCACTATCCGTGAGTTTTTTTTTTTTTTTTTTTTGACAAAAAAGCCTTTTACATGGTGAAATTTCAGACACACCTCTCTGAAACTATTTTAGCGGCTTTAGAGATGGATTTCTTTCCTGGGGCTAATGTAGTAGTATGGAAGCCGAATCCTTCGGGGCTGTTTTTGATAAAAACAGCGCATGAAGACGGCGGGGAACACAAGATGAATTTATCAGCATTTTTGGCATAAATGTTCCCTTACGAATTTCTTTTTTTTTTTTTTTGTTTGGAAGCTGAGTAATCGTCTCTTTCCATTTCCAGAGGTGCTCGATAATTTTGGTTTTATGCTTTCACCATCAATCTGCCTAAAATGTGGGACAATGGTGACACGATCTATCATTTCTTTTTGGATTGCCTTGAAGCTCGAAGAAATGGAATCACTTTGCTAGCATATGTGGTGTTTCTGACCAGCCGCATGGAAATTTGTGGAGCTGCATTCTTTCTTGCTGGATGATGGCCAGCTTTTATTCAGCAAAAGGGGCTTTGGAAAAGGTACTTCCAATCTTTATATTATGGTAAATATGGAAAGCAAGGGATGTAGCTTTTTTTTGAAAATAATATTGTGAGCAGTCAACAAATAATCCAAACTGTGATGTTTCATATTGAAAGCATGATGATTTTTCATAGTCCTCTAGTGAGGAATGCAGCAGAGAAGTTTGTCATTCTCTCTCTGTCTAGTGGTGGCTAACCAAAACCCTAGCCTTGCTTCCGGTTCCTATGACCGGCGATCAAGCTGGGGAGGTCCCCACTGGGCCTCCTTGCACATTTGCAAGTTTTATTCAGAAGCCTTCGGATGATAATGTCACTAAGGGATCTCTTGTGAAACCAGTTAAAGTCATAAACGGGGCGGTAGTCTTGGAATATGAATATGACGAGTATGAATAAATGGTTGCCCCACATCAACTCAGCTTGATAGGAAAATTCTCTTATGGCCTACCAAACAGGAAGGAAATTCATAAGGAGTTTGAGAAATTATGTTTTCATGGTGGATACACATTAGGGCTCATGAACCCTAGACACGTGTTAATCCGGTTTGATAAGGAGGAGGATTACCAAGGTTGATGGATCCGTACTGTTTGGAACATCGCAGGCTTTTCAATGAGAATCCTTAAATGGAGGCCGGGAGTCAAGTATGAAGAAAACCCCCCAATTGTCCCAATTTGGGTGTCCCTTTTTTATCTTCCAATCGAATTTCTTAATCCGGCGGTCATCTTTTCAATGGCTACTGCGATAAGGAAGCCGTTGAAGGTTGCTACTCCCACATTGAATATGACAGACCTTCTGTCGCGAGGTTTTATGTGGAGGTGGATCTCACAAAAGACTTTCCAAAGTTAGTTAAGATTGGGAAGCGTGGAAGAAAGCACGAACAAGTGTTCATTTATCAGCACATTCCAGCATACTATTCTAAATGCCTAAAGATCGGGCACAAAAAAGAGGATTGTAAGCCGGAAAGATAAAGTCCGCGGCTGTAAAAGGGAAGAAGATTACTGGTGGTGGGAAAAGTAAAGGCGGGGAAAACCCTAGTTTGGGTGTAGCAACTTCGCAAATTGTGGTTGAGAAGAATGCTTCCTTGACGTCGTGTTTATCATCCAAGGAGAAGGATACAATCGTTGTTGATGTTCAAGAACCCAAGGGAACTCAGACTGTGGAGGAGGCTGCACCGCCACATGAGGTTTTTCCGCAGGGTGTTACTAAGCATGTTGCGACTCTGCAGGGTGCGACTTTGCATCTTGCGACTCCAGAAGTAGTGACTTCGCTGGCTAAGGACAACCGATTCTCAGTTCTTGCGTTTACAAAGGTGGAGGATGAGAAGGAATCTGACGTAAATGATGTTGAAATTGGGGAAATTCCGCAGGTGGAAATTCCACAAGCCGCGACTACGTTGGTGGAGACTCCGCAGGATGTGACTGTACCGATAGCAACTCCGGCACTTGTGATTTCACCGGCTAAAGACAATCGATTCTCTGTTCTTACCTCCATTACAGAGGTTGAGAATGAAAAGGAATCAGCAGAAGATGATGTCGAGAATATGTTTACGGAAGAATCTCCGAGTGGGAAGAATAAGGAAGACGATGTTGCGATAATTGAGGCTGAAACCCTAGCTCTACCCATTCAAATTCGAAACCCGTCTCAGATTGAAATGCATTTAGATGACAGTTGTATTGGAAGGCGAAGTGAGTCTAATGAAGTCTTGGTTTCTGAGAATAGTGATGATGATCGATGGTTTGATGGAGATAGATGTGATCTTGAGGAAGATGATGCAGCGCAAGGGAATGCATCTGTTTCCAAAAAAAGAGGTCGCAAAAAGAAGTAGGATAAAACAAGGTTGCTGCTGGATATTGTTCCGCGGCGATTAGCTCGCCTAAATTGATCGGTCTTCTTTAATTTTTCCAATGATAAGACAAATCATATGGAACATCCGAGGTATTAAAAATCAAGCGTCACAGCGGCGCTTGAAATCTTTGATTTGAAGGTATAATGTTACGTTGCTTATTATATTAGAGCCCATACCTCAAAGTAATGATATTGAAGAAATAAGGAGGGAGCTGAATTTTGATGTTGCTTTTGCGTCGAATTCAAATAAAATCAGGGTTTTTTGCATGAAAGAATATACTATTTCTTTGCTGGAACAAAGTGAGCAAGTGATGCATTTTGAGTTCTCGCATGGGTCCATACCTTGCTCATTCTTTGCGTCTGCAGTGTATGCTAAATCTAGTAAGGTGGGGAGGACTATGTTGTGGAGGAATATGGAGGAATTTAGAAGGAAGTATTCGGCTGTACCATGGATGATCGGTGGAGATTTTAATCTGATTCGGGGGTTAGATGAATACTCAGGTCATTCTGTACAAGATCATTCGGCAATTGAAGATTTCAATGAATGCTTAGATACTTGTGGATTGGTTGAGATTCCTAGAGTGGGAGAGGAGTTTACATGGGGAGGGATGAGGCAAACGGGCTGGGTTAGTAAGAAGTTAGACAGAATTTTATTCTCGGAGGAATGGCGTGATCTCTTCCCGGGAACGTCTATTGAGAAATTAAATAGAACAACCTCCGATCATTGCCCTATGTTACATATGTTTGCTTTGCAAGGGGATAGCAAGCCAAAGTTGTTTCGCTTCCAGAATATGTGGCTTCGGAGACAAGATTTTTTAGATATAGTGAAGGAGAATTGGGAACAGCCTATTGAGGGTTTTCGAATGCTTGGATTCTCGCTGAAATTGAGAAGGTTAAAATTGCGGCTGAAAGATTGGAATAAAAATTGCTTTGGGAATGTTTTTGATTTTCGGGAATTGGAAAGGACTTTTGAGGCTTCCGATTCTGATCAAGACAGAGTAAACTTGCAAAAAGCCAAGGCATCCTTGTTGCAAAAGCTGAAAGAAGAAGAAGATTTCTGGTGACAAAAAGCAAGCACAAATGATTAAAAGAAGGTGATGCCAACACTTCTTTGTTTCATGCTTCCTTGAAAGAAAGGAAGATGAGATAACGAATCTACAAAATTCAATCAAGGAATGGTACAATGTTGACAGAATTGCTGGATATTGAAGCTGAAGCGGTGGAGTTTTTTTAGAGCCTCCTTGCTGCAGATTCCATTCAAGTTGAGGACAATTTTCAGAATATCTTTTTGCTGCATATTCCAAATTTGGTTGGTAGGGATGATCAAGAGATGTTGTTAAGGCCTGTCTCAATAGATGAAGTTAAGGATGCAGTTTTTAATTTGAATGAAGACAGCGCTCCTGGGGTTGATGGATATGGCGGTAAATTCTTTAGAAGTTGTTGAGGTATTATTGCAAACGACTTATGGTTAGCCTGCCAAGAATTTAAGCTTGGAAATCCAATTCCAAGAGCAATTGCAAGTACACTAATAGCTCTTATCCCTAAAAAAGCAACTGTTAATACCTTCTCTGATTTTCGGCCTATAAGTCTCGGCAACTTTTTGAATAAGGTGTTTACGAAGGTTTTTACTAAGAGGTTAAAAGTTGTGTTACCAAGGTTGATATATGAGGAGCAATCGGCTTTTTTGGCACTAAGAGACATTATTGATAACATGTTATTAGCTCAAGATTTATGTCAATTATAAATCGAAAAGCGGCTGGAAGTAACATGGTTATTAAAGTGGATATGATGAAGGCCTTTGATAGGCTTAAGTGGTGTTTTATTAAAGCTGTGATGCTAAAATTTGGCTTTCCTTCCAGTTTTGTTGAGTTTATCTTGAATAATTTACGAAATAGCTGGTTTTCTGTAATGATCAATGGTAGTCCTATTGGATTTTTCCAGGCTACAAGAGGCATCAAACAAGGGGATCCTTTATCCCCTTATTTATTTATTCTTGTTTCCGAAGCTTTGGCGAGGAGGATAAAAACATTAATGCATGAAGGGAAGATTGCTACATATGGTACACCTGCGGGCTCATTGGTGGTCTCTCATTTATGTTTCGCTGATGACTTAATCATCTTTACTAAAGGGCTGAGTAAGTCATTAAGTGAAATAAATTCTTTCTTTGAGCAATATGAAGTGGCATCAGGGCAAAAAGTAAGTCGACAAAAAAGTTTCTTTGTTGCATCGGAGAGGTGTGCTCCAAGAAGAATTGAGTTGATAAAACGAACTTTGGGTATGGAGAAGAGTTCATTTCCTTTTGCTTATTTGGGCTGCCTATTATTTAAAGGAAAGAAGAAGGCCTCTACTTTCCAACTCTTATTGGATGTTATTGATTCTAAGTTGTTGAATTGGAAGAACAAGATGTTGTCGCCTGGAGGACGTTTGATGCTAATCAAGCATGTCTTGGCTTCTATTCCAATAAATGTATTCTCAGCTATTCCTCCCTCGCAATCACTTGTGATTGAAATGGAAAAGCACTGCTGAAAATTCCTATGGAACGGGACTAATGAGGAAAAGAAGAGACATTGCCTTAGCTGCTAAACTTTGGTGGAAAATCAAGCATCGAAGAAGAATTTGGAGTAACTTTTTGCTCTCCTTATCAAATTCTTCCTAAGAGAAAACATCATGGTCTAGGGTTATGAAGCTTGATCATAAGCTACCATCTCACACAAAGGTCATCTTGCGAGGGGGTGATAGATCTTTCTGGTTTGATGCTTGGTCAGATCATGGTGTATTAGGTGATCATTGCGTAGCCCAGCTGCCCTGGCCTCAACTCACCATCCGAGAATTTTTTGAAGATAAAGGGAGATGTCCCTCGGTAACGAATGATGTACTTCCTAATGCGGTAAAGGTTTTTCTTGTTGATTTTGAGTTCAATTTCTTCAACGAATATGATATTCTTGTATGGTAGAGTAATTCGCAGGGTTCTTTTTCAGTCAAGTCGGCGCATGAAGCCTTATGTCGACGACAAAATGTGGATTCCTTGCCGCAAAATGTGTGGAATAGATTGGTTCCTTCTAGGGTTTCATTCTTTTTGTGGAAATTAAGGAATGGTCTGCTGCCTTCCCCGGATATCATTGGTTTTTTTGGTATTGTTACAATGCCCTCCATATGCCTATTTTGTCGTAAGCACTCGGATGACTTGGTTCATTGTTTTTATAGTTGCGAATTTGGCGACTTCTGTTTGGATGCATTTTGCTTCATTAATGTGTCTAAACATAAATAGCCATGCAAGTCTACAACATTTGCTTCATAAGTGGTAGTCGAAAGGAAGCTATACTATGGGAAGAAAGGCAGCCATCATGTTACTCCCTTCTTTTATTCTTTAGGAAATCCAGAAGGCAAGGAATAAAATAATTTATGAAGGTACAAAGATTACTTTAAATTAAGTAATTTATTCCGTTTCTTCTAGTGTCATTAGGGGTCAATTTGACTCGGGTTGTGCATAGGAAGGTTCAAGTGGTGCGACAGACTCCACCAGGTCCGAACTCCTATATTTTGAATTCAGATGGCTCATCTATGGGTGATGCAGGATATGGTTTTGTGATTCGAGGGGAAGGTGGATACTTCTTGTATGGAGAGTGTGGCTTTTTGGGTGAGAGGGAACAGCTTGCTTGCAGAGGTTTATGGAATTCTTTTTGGATTACGAAAGTGTGAATTTCTAAATCTCCCAAATGTAGTTGTTCAAACTGACAATAAGTTGCTTTCGCATGGCATTGCTAAACAAGCTGGATTTCCTTGGAAGTTCTACTTGGAGTTGCAAGAAATGTGTTCTATAATAGCTCGAAATGGGTATTCTATTATTCATATATACAGAGAGAAGGAAATACAGTCACTGATGTTTTGGCCAAGTCCACTTCCAGAGGGGAGTCAACAACCTTTGATTCTTTTTCTTCATTACCACGTTATGTAAAGAGATTTTGATGTTAGATCAAAGGTCGTTTCCTTATTTACGTAGCTGAGTACACTTTTGTTGTATTATCCTAGGGTTAGACCATACTCTGCCCTTGGCGACCTTGTTTCTTTAAATGCAATGAAAGCAGGAAGGGATGGTGTTAGGGAACTGGATTATAAATATGTCCATCCCTTGGGTATACCCCTTTGGTGCATAGTACTATCTGGCACTGCCTAGTTCAAAATATACCTCTTAGGTATGCCCCTTGAGTTTTTGTGGGCCAGTTGAAACCTGAATAATGTCCAAACCTTTTAATTAAAAAAAAAAAAAGGTTTCATGGAAGGCCATCTTCCTAATATAAAGTTTCACTTGAAACAAAGAAAAATGCAAGGTGGTAATATAGAAGAAGCCGAACCCTAATGCATTGTCCTCAATACTGATGGATCGTCCATTAACTCTAGTTTGGACTCTGTTTATGGTTTCTTGATTCAAGGGGAATATGGTAATTTTGTATAGGGGGAGTCCAGCTATTTGAGTGAAGGTAATAGTATGATGGTAGAATTTCATGGAATTTTGTTTGGGGTGCAAAAATGTCATAATTGAATCTCCAGTGTGTTGAGATTCAAAAAGAAAACCAACTAATAGCCAAATTTTTGTCAAAGGAAGGAGACTTGGAATATTTTTTCCAATTGAGAGAGATACAGTTCACAATGAATAAGAAGGGATACTCTATAACTCATGTTTATAGAGAGACTAATGCAGCAACAGACAATTTCGCTGGGGTAGCATCAGCAAGTTTGTTCACAAACCTTTCATAGTATTACTGATCTTCCTAAATTTTCCAAGGGTCTCTTACTATTGGATAAGCGAGATATGCCATATTTTTGCAGTAGATAATTTTTCAGGATAATGTCTCTATTTGTAATTTTTTATATCTTTTTCTCATAAGTATACTTAGAAACACAACAAAAAACTATCATGGGATTATGCTTAATCCTTATAAGTCATTTCAGAGTTTACGAATTACTGAAATAGAAGAACTG